ATAAAGTAGAAAGTTCATTGTTATGATTAAACTCAATATTTTTCAAATCCTTCAAGTATACATGACCATGTATACATAAAAGCGATTCTATTGACCCCTTAATATTCTATCGACAAATCTATAGTCATAATTAATGTTATCTTGGTTTTTGTGCACATTAGTTGTTAAAACTATATAATTTCAGCCGATTATGGGTGATATGAACTTGGAATCTGGTCATCGGGTATTGGTGTCGGATTGGATCGTGGATTGGAAATGAGCACCATTAACAAGTTCTTGATTAGATTCTTAGCTACAATCAGGTAACAAGACTATTAGAACTGCTTCAGGGATTGTGTCCCAAGAGCAGGCTCCAACGATCAAATTAAATCGGTGTGAGTGAGGAGATGGCCTCTCATGGCCAGAGAGAGTCATCTAGGTGTAATGGGAGAGTGTACGGGCATAACTGAGGTTGATCTCCCAAGATGAGAGAAGTCTAAGAGTGGAAGGTAATGATCCCTCCTCATGAAAGATGAATCAGTCTATTTATAAGGGACTTGGGTCGGTCCAATTCAGACTCAACTAGTTGACAGTAGTGTCATCTAATTGGGCGGTCGCGTAATGGTGACAAGCAGTCACGATGTTGTAGCAAACAGTGTTGGCCAACACTGTTGTCAGGCAACCAAGTTGTCATGCTATTGGGTTATGCCAATGGGCCCAATAACATCAACGAGTATTGACATAAGTTATTTTATTTTAATTTTTAAGAGCGGATATATTAAACACAAAACTATAAGAAAACTAAGTATTAATAGGAGAAATACACCACTCAAACTAACATAAATAATTAAAATTTGTTTTATATTTAAGCCAATTAAATACCGCAAGTTGGATATCATCGGTCATTTTTAAAGGAGATTGTTTTTTTCTTGCTAAACACCAAGGCATTCCCGGCTTTCCAAATCAACCAAACCACCAAGTAGATCAAGCTTGTTTCTTTTTTTGAAGAGCTTCATTTTTATTTTATTTTTGAATGGCTGAATGAAATATATATAAAACAAAAACACCACTAGCTAGCAACAAATTACATAGTGTTTAGAGGATTTTGAATCCAATTTACCCAACTAATACTAACTGTTCTATTTCTATGACAATGATATAAATCGTTTCCTTCTTGATTAGAGACACATAAAGCGTATCTACCCAATTCACAAATATAACATGGTTTCATTTTGTTTAGAACACAAAGGACGGACGAAGTCGTTGTTACGTTGCCATCGGTTTAGGAAGGTACCGACAGTACCGCCTTATGTCCCTTCAAAAGTAGCTTCAATGCGTTTATTGCTTTAATGCTTATTAACGGGTTCAAGAACCCGTGTTAATTACCATGTGATAATATTTTATTTTTTCATCTTTTCTCTTTTATTCATTCATTCCTTTTTATATATATATATATATATATATATATATATATATATATATATATATTAGGATAGGAATATACATTACAGCCCCACCTAAGCTTAGGTACTAAACCTATAAAATATGTTGTTTTAACTTAGTAAATATACCCGATTTGGTTTTCATTTGGTAATATATATCATCCTCGATAACATTTCTTTCCTTCATTATTGTTTTACCATCCCTATTTTATTTCATCCATTATCGTTTATTACTTCACCCCAGTGAACATTACTTTTTTCCACTGTCACAAAGATCTAAGATAATCAATATTCTTGCTTCCTTAACAAAACTATTGCGTCGATCTTGAATCTACATCTCCAATTGGTAATCGTGAATCCCGTAACGGCAATCTTTATATAGTAAAACAACGTATTTTCATGAGGTTTAGTACCTAAGCTTAGGTGGGGCTGTAATGTATATTCATTTTTCCATATATATATATATATATATATATATATATATATATATATTTACCATATATATATATATATATATATATATATATATATAAAGAGAGAGAGAGAGAGAGAGAGCTAGGTTCAGGTATTTAACGTAATTATTGTGTTATTATATGAATAAATGTAGGCCAATAATTTCAAAAGGGTAAATATGTAATCATACATTTAGTTAATTATGGTAAATATATATCAATTAATATCCCTTTAATTTAGGAATATCAGTTTTAAAACCCAATTTCTAGTATATATCATCACGTCCGCCTCTTCCCTCTTCTCTTCTATTCATCGTCACCCCCATCCTTGTCCCTCCAGCCGCCATTACCCCTTTATTCCAGTCTGCCTCAAGTTCCGATTCCGACTCGGAGTCGGACGATGAAGCTCAAGCTGCTCTCGAATTACAAACCCTAGAAACGGAGCTCTCGACAAGCCCAGCCAACTACAATGCTCATGTTCAAGTATGTCTGATTATTTTTGCTTGTTTGGTGTTATGTGCTGAAATTGAGTGTACTTAATACGTATTGTTCTAATGTATGGTGTGTATGTGTAGTATATAAAGGCTTTGAGGAAACAAGGCAATATTGATAAACTGCGGCTAGCAAGGGAGGCTATGAGTAGGCTTTTCCCGCTAACTCCTGCAATGTGGCAGCAATGGGCAAATGACGAAATTTCTCTCACCCTGTCTTCTGGGTAGGCTATTGTTTCCCCTTCTATGTACATTTTTTTCTTTTAATTTTTCTTTCAAGAAGAAGAGGATGTCGGATGACTAGAATAAGGATTCCTTGTCGTGTGAAGGAACAATAAGCACATTCAAAACCTTATGACCACCATCAGAAAATAGAACTTGTGACTCGTTATAATTTGTTGTATATAATGCAGGAATGAGGGGGCAATTCCTACTATTGAGAAGCTATTTGAGCGTGGAGTATCTGATTACTTGGTAAGCTCCACACATTTCTAAATTTTTGTTTCAGTACCCATCTTAATGTTGCATTCATGGCTATGAAATTTGTCTTTTGAGTTTTGACTATTCTGATTTTCATCTTCAGTGGTGAATTGTCATTCATCAAAACTGAAATGATTGATTGCTTTCTGCAGTCTGTCTCTCTGTGGTATGACTACCTGAGTTTCATTCAAAAATATGATTCTTCTGTCCGTGAATGTTCACCCCAGTGGAATGTCAAAGGCAAGGGATCTATTTGAACGTGCTCTCCACTAAATATATGCATACAACACCTGAATCAACTTTATTACGCCCTAGGGGCTTCATTTGATCATTTAATGCAACTCTTTTTTTGTTTGTGTTGTTGCATACTTTCTAATATAAATTTGACACTCTATACACTGCAGGTTTGCATTTTCTATTTGGTTCTTCGTGCCCTTGACACTGTTGGTAGGTCTAAATACCTTTAAGCAAATTTTCTAGTTTTCTGAATTTCTTTGAAAAATATTAAAAAAATACTTGAGAAGATGTATCATTCTATCAATTAGGTATTAGATATTGAACCTTAAGATCAATTTGTTTTTAATTATGTGTTTGTGTTATTCATCTTTTTTTTTAATAAAGAGAATACCAAATTACTAATTTTGATAATATTCGTTTATTGTATTTCTATCAGAAAAGAATGTTTTTTATGATAATCATGAACATATTCTGTTAGAATGTCCCGAATTAATATAATAATTGGTAAATGAATTCCAATTCTATCAGAATGGAATCACGAATTCCAATTATGCTGGAATATGGATATTTTCTCACTAATTTATTCATTGGATTTGTTTCCACAGAAGCTGATGCTTGAAGAACGGACCACGAAATTTGAACGACGCCTCTTAGCAACATTATTCTTTTAGAATAACTTTAGTGCATTTGTTAGATTTTGATGTTTTTTTCCCGATTTGAAAGTTTTTTAGTTTTATTCTTTAACAATAAATGTAATTTTTAGCAATTGTTACATGTATTCTATAAAAATTAATATAATTTTTGTTTTAATTCTTTAATTGCTGGTTCGAGAATTTGTTATTCTACAAGAAATATGTTCAAGAATATTTTTATTATTTTATGGTTCTAGAATATTTTTATTTTTGAACATACTCAAACATATTCTGTCAGAATGTCCGAATTAAAAACCTTATAATTCGTAAAATCGGATTTTTAAAATTAATAGAATCTATGATCCCTTAAAATATGCAAATTTCATTTATTAAATCTATATTAATTTACTAAAATACCCTTCTAGTTAAATTAGATGATATTTTTCGATTATTTTTAATTCAATAATATGTATTAATCACTTTCTTAAAATAAGTAAAATGATTGACTCATATTTATGCATACAATAACACAATAATTACTTTAAATACAATAACCTAAGCCATATATATATATATATATATATATATATATATATATATATATATATATATATATATATATATATATATATATATATATATATCCTTTTAATAAATGATGCACATGTAAAGTCAATTTGATATTTTCTTTTTCACCTTTTTTTTTCTTTTTCATTCATTCCATTCATTTCTATATTTTTTCTTTTTTTCTTTTGTTTTAAATTAGCAAACATTTATTTTTAAATAAAAAATGTTATATTTTATTTTATTTTATATTTACTAATTTAATTAAATAAAAAAATGATATGACAAATAGGTTGAATGGGTTGGAAAAAATATGGTTTCCATGTCTTTGAAAATAAAAAAAGTAAAAAAAAATAAAAAAAAACTATTATGACAATAAGTTGTTTGAAAATAAAAAAAATAAAAAAAAATAAAAAAAAACTATTATGACAATAAGTTGAATGAGTTGAAAGAAAATGACTCTATCTTGAGGAAGCTAACTACTCTAATAAGAAAATCAAGTCCAAATAGGACCAGAAAATTGGCAATTGAAAAATATACATGATCCACCTCCTCCTCTTCTATATTACAAAAAGGACATCTACTAGAAGAAACACCAACACCTCGGGTACAAAGATTATGTATATCAACGCCATTCTCTTGCTATGAAGATTATAAAACAAACCCTTTTTTTTCTATCCGAGTTCATCATTTAAACATAACACTAATAAATTATAAAGATATGGTCAAAGTTGGATTTTAAGGAATCAAGAAAACTAAAAACTACAATGATAATCAAGAACAAAAAGCTATGAAATCACTCTCACTCAAAGAATCAATCGTTATCTGCTTCCTACTTCATAACTAACTACACCTTTTCATTAGGATATGAAATCACTATTTCCTTTTGGGCAAACAAGACCTTTGACCAGCATAGTTGACTTTTGATCGTTTGTTCTTCACAAAGTTATCCCCATTTTCCGTTTTAGCTTTTTGCAGACGCTTATATTCTCTCGACCTAATCACACCTTCCAAAATCTTAATATCTTCCCAGATTTCATGTTGAGAAAGTGACGATAATGTAGGAAGTATATCTTTCTGAAAATCTTTCATTCTCCTTCCTCTTCTTAACTTTATTGAGTTTATTCCTTTGTCGTTTTTATTTTTACCCATTTCATTTAATTCAAAAGCTTTCGATGTTACACAATCTTCATCTACACAGCTTTCTTCTAGCTTTAAAACAAGTGACTCGTAAGAATCAATAGAAGAAGATCTTCGTGGGTTTGTTTTCTTGTTTTCAACCTCGTTTGACCCTGATTTGCTTTCGGAATCTTGATTACTTGAAATTTGTTGCAATGAGATTGAAACAAGTGAGTGGGCTGCTTTTTTTGTTGCATAATCTGAGTCGTTTTTCACTTTTTCTTCTATCACCTGTGAGATATTTCTCTCTTTCTCTTCTGTGAGATCTGATGAGGGTTCGTTTGATTGATAAGATTCATCGGGTTGATCTTCGTTGAGATCGAAATCCATTAGTTTTGTTTGTTTGACATCATCATGCAACTCGCTGGATCCTGCAAGATCATAAAGGGTTTCGTTTAGAATGGGAAAAAAGCACGAATCTTGATTGTGAAAATGAGAATTGAGAATTTCGTACATGTTTGACTTTTGAAAGTCAAATGGACTACATCTCCAGATTAGAAAAGTAACCGAATGTCAAAGTTTTTGAACTAAGATTGAATATTAAATCAAACAATACGGTGACACTATGATTACGAATAATATGGTGTTCATGTATAAAATGAATTCATGTCAATTTTGCCTTTAAAATTGTATATGGTTGACTTCCAGAGATCAAAGGGTCTCAAAAGAAGCCCATGTTTGACTTTTGACTTTTGAAGGATCTGTAGAGATTTGAACTGTCTAACTAATTACCCCATTAAAATGGTGTCATAGGTTAAATCAAGAAACATAAAATGGTTGTATAATGTCATTCCTTCATCTCAATTTGGTTAAAAGAATAAGGCTGACTTCCCAAAGTCAAAAGAACATAGTTTAGACTATAGATTGACAAACCTTTATGCAAATTGACACCATTCACTAAACAATCGATCATTCCATGACATGGGTATTGATTTATATGATCCGTTGACTTTTGACTCGATTGATCAAGTGAAAAAACAGGTTGAACATCCTCACTCAATCCTATTCCTGAAGATTCTTCTTCAAGATTAATTATAATCTTGTTCTTCCAAGATTTTCTTCTTTTATTGATACTCCTCCCAATACTCAAAGAAAGATTCAAATCATCATCATCATCATCATCTTGTGAGAACAAGTTGTCTATCAAGAATCTTGCCTGAAGAACATACGAGTAAACATCATGTAACAAAGGATGTAAATCGTGGATTTTGTGGGTCCCATCACATCACAAAAAACATTTATAAGAATGCTAAATGACTACACAAATAACATTTCATTCTTGTTAATGCAATCTAAGAGGGAGTTTAATGTCATTTACCGAATGATGTCCTGTGAATGTTCTCTTCATGGGAAAAGCTTCACATCTTGTATACTTTGAATCACTCTTCATCAACGACTTTCCAAGGGACCCACATACTTGTTTCTTGAATATGATATCATGATCGAGCATTGTCTGTTTTAAAGATCCTCTGAAATACTCAAAAGGGTGATTTGGGGAAGAATTTAAATCAAGAAAACCTTCCATCTAAATCAAGAAACTTTATCGATCGACTTGTTACTGTAAATGCAGCATCATCACGCTGAAGAAGAAGATATCAAGTCAAGGCAAGAACTTCCATATGATGCTGTGGTTAAAAACCCAATCCTGTTGCATGTTATGAGAGGGTTAAAGTACAAGTATTTAAGCTAAGAGTACACGTAGAGATGATACATGTTCATAGTCATGGAAGACGCGTATGGAAATTAGAAATATGAAAGTTGGAAATTTTCAGCTGTAAGAACAGTACCGGAGAATGTTCAAACGAAAAGAATATGGAAATCGTGAAATTGACCTTACCATGAATGTACAATTCGTTAAACAAAGGGTACAACTTATGAATACATCTCATGATATACCATGTTTGGTACTCGAAATTTCATGGTCCAAAACACCATTTTTGTTTCAGGATAATTACAAACTCTGAGATCTCATTTTCTTGAAATATTCCTAAACAAAAGACGAAAAAAGACTCGTCTTTCGTTTCTCATTCAATTAATCAATTTCTATACATTAAAAGGAGTAAAAATCGCTTTTTGCAGAAAACCCGTTTGAACAAATTCACATATATACACATCACGATGCAAAATCATACAACAAAACTTGCAAATTCTAACAAGATGAGGAGGGAAGGAAGGTACCAGGGGCATCCTGCGCACGTTAGCAAGAACAGGGATTGAGACATGAGATTGATTACTAGTGTGGTGGGTGTATTGAGTGATCCGAAAAAGATCAAAATAAATGCAACCCAGTTGCCCCCTCTCTCTATTTATGTATATGCATATCTAGAGAGAGAGAGAACAGATTGGAGATGGGAGATACAGCTATAAAACAGGAAGCGCTGATTGTTGTGGCGGTGACTAAAATACGCAGGTGATGCGTATGCGTGAAACAAACGTGATCTTGCGTTAATGTATGCATATAAAGTTCCTGTCTCTATCACATCTCTCTCACATACATATGGTCCTCGGGATTCTTTCTCTCTCTCTCTAGAAATGTGATTTTATGGTTATGAAAGAAGAGACTAGTCAGACCTCTTGGGACGGTTATCTCTGCAAAAAGGTGCCGAAAAAGCCTTTCTGTGTTTTCCTATTTACCCCTACACTATTCACTCTTTGCGCCATTGCCCCTTCAACTCTCCTAGAATAGGAAAGTAGAAGTATATCTAAAAAAATATCAAAATTAATTCGATTTAGGCACTGAAAATCCGATCATGCTAAATTGAACCCTAAAATCTGAGTTTTGATTCGTTTTGCCCTTACGACCTACTGAAACCGGTTAACCATTATTAGATTATAATAGTTTCACCACCCTATCCTTTGTATATTGATGAGATATAAATACAAGTAATTTACATAGGAAACAACTTAAATTAGGAACAATACATGGAATTGTACAGTTAATATTGACCACACATAAAGGAAATACATAACTATTATTTTAATCATAGAGAAAGTCACAGTGATGATTTATCTTCAATACCCCCCCCCCCCCCCAAGGCAACCGAAAGGGAGGCAGACGAACACATAACAACTCGAAATGATTCGAAGAGAGGTCTCGGAAATGGTTTTGTAAAAATATCGGTCACTTGAAGCTTGGTAGGCTCGATTTTTTTGGTATGTAACTTGTTAGACGAAACGAGCTCTTGTACAAAGTGATAGTCAATGTCGATGTGTTTAGCTCGTCGGTGTGCTACGAGATTTTGGCTGAGAAAGATGACACTTAAGTTATCACACAGTAATATCGGTTGTTCAGATGGTTGGGCATTTAAATCATGTAGTACGTGAGTGATTTGTATGAGCTCAACCGCGGTGTTATTCATTGCACGATGCTCTGACTCATAATTAGAGCATGAGACGGTTAGATGGTTTTTGGTACTCCAAGACACGAGGATTCCACCAAAGAAGATTTAGTAACCGTAAGTGGAGCGTCTTGTTTTGATGCAGTGAGCCCAATCGGCATCCGAGTATCCTACAAGAGTGGATTTCTTCGGGTATGATAAGTAAAGCCCATGTGTAGTCATGCATTTTACATACCTCATGATCCTTTTTGCCATCCGAAAGTGCTTATCCGTTGGCAAGTGAAGAAATTGACTAGCATGGTTTACCGTATAAGAAATATCAGGTCTTGTAATAGTCAAGTACTGAAGTGCACCAACGAGTGAGCGTTAAAGTAGGATCATGAAAGGTGTTTCCTTTATTACTAAAAACATCATTGGTGGCAAGTGGTGTCCCAAATGGTTTGGAATCGAGAAGGTCGACCTTAGTTAAAATGTCATGAGCATATTTAGTTTGGCTAAGGAACAAACCATCTAATGTATATGAGACTTCAAGACCAAGGAAGTAACTTATTTTGCCTAAATCTTCTATGGCAAACCCAGTTTGCAAACGATCAATGAAGTGTTTAAGTGACGACTCATGATTAACGGTGAGAATGATATCATCTACATATACCAATAAGTATAGAAGGTATGAGTCACGATGAAAAAATGAAAAGCGAGTGGCCCGCTTGATTACACATGAAACCTTCATGTACCAGGAAACTACTTAACCATTGAAACCTAGCGTGTGGGGCTATCTTAAGGCCGTAAAGAGCTTTATTTAGATGACATATATAATTCGGATGAGTCGAGTTAACATAGCCCGAAGGTCGTTCCATATAGACAGTTTCTTGAAGATGATCATTAAGAAATGCGTTTTTAACGTCAAGTTGATGGAGATGCCATTGATTTGTCAAAAAAAAAAGAGTACAAGGCGAATAGTGGTGGCTCTAACAACGGGACTGAAGGTATGAGAGAAATCAAAACTTGGTATTTACGTAAAACCTTGAGCCACAAGGAGTGCCTTATGACGATCAATACTTTCATCGACATTGAATTTAATTCGAAACACCCATTTTGACCCCCACAACGTTTGCATTTTTAAGTGTCCATGTGTTATTTTTATGAAGAGCCATAATTTTCTCGGTCATTGCATCACGCCAATGTTGGTGTTTAGATGCCGATTTAAAACCACGAGGTTCTTGGGTACCAAGTAAGGCGACATGCATTGGGGTTGGAGAAACAACAAGAAGATCAATCACATGCTTCGGATTGACAATGTTGGCTTTTCCTCTAGTCACCATGGGATGTGTCGGAGTGTTTAAGGAAGATACGAGAGGAATATTTGGTGAGACGGACACTTGTAATATGGAAGTTGATGGAGTTTGGAGTGGCGAGGACTAAGTGGAAGGCGTAGGAAGGGAGGTTGGTGAGGAAAGTTTAGGGGATGTGATTGGTTCATTTTGGTGAGTGGGTCGTAACGAATCATGTATGCATGATGGATAATTTTTTGGTCTACTATTATGTAAGGAGAGTATAGAATTGTTTTGGGGTTGGTTAATTTGAGAGATTGTGTCATCATAAGAGTTTAAAATTAAGGTGACAATGTTAATTGAATATTTTTCTTTCAAGAATGGAAAGGAGTCTTCATTAAATCTTTCATGTTGGGTGATATAAACCCGATATGTGTTTGGATCCAAACATTTGTACCCTTTAGATTTAGTACAATAGCCAATAAATATGCATGCAATGTTGCACGATGCTAGTTTATGCTCCAAATTGGGCTGCAAATATGGACAGACTCGACATCCAAAAAGCTTGAAGTTATTGTAATTTGGAATCGAATGAAAGAGAAGCTGATATGGTGATTTGTGTTGTAACAATTTGGTGGGAAGGCGATTAATAACATGAGTTGCCGAGAAGAAAACATTCACCCAAATATTCACGGGTGTGTTTGCACCGAACAACTGTGCAAGTCTTATTTTGGTTATATGCTGATGTTTTCTTTCCACTTGCTGTAACGCCCGCGTTTCCAGACTAGGCATTATTGTTGATGTAATAGTCTAGGTTAACCCTTGTAACTCTTTTTGAAGTATTAATGATGAAATATTTGAGTATTATGTGAATTATGTGATTTACGTGTTTGTTTTCTTAATTATTATAATTTAATGGATTAATAATAAAATAAGCGTCAAAAGTAAAGTGTGAGATAAGCCCGATATCTTTGCTTGAAGATGTAGTGGTTGAAACAAGGATTCCAGAGATATAAAGAATGCCGAAATCCGAGTTATAACGAAGAAGTTATGACCTGTCGAAGTTTCGCGACAGAACCGGCACGACGCTGAGTGACGTAAAATATGAATTTAAGATAGAGCAATATCTAGCCTTAGTGATCTAAATTAAAGTCGTATATTATGTTAAACCAAGAGCGTTCATAAAAAGAACACTCAAATCTGACTTCGTATGAGGAATTTATGATTTTCCGAAGTTTCGACTTAGCGGTATGCAGCCCGAATACTCGAATATGAGATCGAGTGATTTTTAGCCAAAACAATCTAAACGAGAATCGAAGATCTCGTCGATAGTAGTCCAACGGTAAAAAGACAGACGAAAACGGACGTCGGATGAAGAAGTTATGAATTTCTAATGGAGTTTTCCTGTCCCGGCCTACTAAAAATAATGTAAAAGTAATATATTTATAATACATTAAAAATAAAGTCAAAATTAGCCAATGGAGTCTAAACGAGAGTTGTAGAGCATAATCTCACCTACACGTCGATATAAATAACGTCGAAAACGGAGTTCGTATGCGAAAGTTATGAATTTCTGAAGTTCGGGGCGCAAAACCCCAAAACTGTCAGTGGCCACGACGTGGAAACAGTGCCCACGACGTGGCATGGCTTCTGACGCCTTCTGGAGTCTGACAGAGCAAGTGGACAATGACGCATGCAATGACGATCAAGCCCACGACGTGGAAGAAGTGCCCACGACGTGGAAAATGAGAAATTTGCCCTATAAATAGATTTGAAGGGGCAGCCGGCCAAGGTTGCTAATTCACCCTTCTCTCACCCATATTACCTCGATTTACGTGCAAAGAAGTACCCCCGAAGCCCCAATATCATCCCGAGACCCGAAGCAAGTCCCGAAACCCGAAGATCCCGAGAAGAAAAGAGTTTCCGAGCCGAAGCTCTGCCCGCGAGAAATCCGGTGTGTGAAGATATCCCGGATCCATCGAAGAATTTCCACTTGAAGAGCCGAAGTGCTGTCCCAGCATCGTCTTAACAAGTGAGTGTGTAGTTACTTTCTTCTAATACATAAATACGAAGTATTTACTATGAAATACGTGTTATGTGTTTATATATTGGTGTTGATTTGAAGGAGGTACATAATCTCTTTCAAATGCACGATCTTATACAAGTATCGATTTAACGTACTAAGTATATGTGTTATGTGAGTGTATCGATGTTATCTTCTAATATCATAGATATGATTTATTCTCTATGAAATACGTGTTATGTTTATGTGTCTCATCTTTTATCTGGAATGTGTTTTGAATGAACATACTATACAGGTTTTAAACTATGTATAAAAATGTATATTTTATCTACTAAAATGTTGGGTAGAACATGGGTAGATAGTTGTCTTGTGATAAAAAGATGAGAGGCCTCGATGTTTTTGATTTAGTCATCTAGCGGAGTTTAGATGACGACCACAGACTTTTCTAGACAGTCTTGTGGAACGCTAGCAGGCTCGCCACCTGTAGGTGTTAATGAACTTGGGTGTTCATTCGCTGTACTCCATCCCCCTCATGGTTGCCTTATTTGACTTATATTGCTGAGGAACCCCCGAAGCATGTGTTGTCGCCCCGATGAAATATTCTTAGACTAGGTCCCCTATGTTAGTTGTCTTAGGGACGTAAAGTGAGAATAACGGGAATGGGTAATTGGGTTATTGTTGGTTGGTAGAATTAAATATAATTATTTATTGTGGGTTGAAAACCCCATATGCTCACCAGGCTCCCAAGCCTGACCCACTCAGTTTTCTTTGTATTACAGGTAGTGGCGCCAGAGCATAAGTTGGATGACTTGTCAAGTTATTTTTGGATTATAGACCTGTTGTTTTATATAACTGTTGTAAGGTCTGTATTGTAATGTTTATGCTTTTGGTCTGTTTATCGGAACATGACATCCCGAGTTTTGTTATATAATG